TTTATTTATTTGACAGATAGAGATCACAGGTAGGCAGCGAGACAGGAAGAGAGAGAGAGGAGGAAGCAGGTTCCCTGCTGAGCAGAGAGCCCGAGTTGGGGCTCAATCCCAGGACCCTGGGATCATGACCTGAGCCAAGGGCAGAGGCTTTAACCCACTGAGCCACCCAGGCACCCCTAGGTGACTCTAATTTGTAGCCAAGTTTAGAACACCAACCTAGATAGTTCAAAGGCCCCAAAATAACGAACAAGTAAGTAAACAAACAAACAAATACTCCCATCCCTATTTGTACTTTGAGGCATAACAATTATTACTTGCCACTTGTTTTAAAACCACCAGTGCATTTGGTTGCCTTTAAACCCAAACATTTGTAGATAGCAGTTAAGCCCTTCTACAGTCCATTCTTACCGGACTTTTCAGGTCTCAGCTCCCCACAGCCCTGTTCAAATCTTGTTAACTTAGAACCTTCGAACACTCCCTACCTTTTTACTCCTGTTTTTAGCTTGCTGTTTTCTTTCTTTCATAGGCCAACCTCATTCTATACTTAGAAGAACACTGTTTACAAAGGCCAGCTTAAGGGTCATTGACTCCATGACATTGGAGTAATCAGAATATAGTTATTTTATATAATGCTGATTTGTATAAACTCAAATCACTTAAATATTTTCCTGAAGAGACAAAGTCACATTCTCTAGTGATGTGAACGGTTAATAATACCTCTTGAAATTCTCTAAGTATGTATCTATCATATTTCTTAGTTACTCCAATATCAATAATTACTTAGGAGTATCATCCCAGAAGGATGCATTCGATTTAGGTTTATAAATTATTTCACATAGACATTAGAGTGATGTTTTGAAAGATTTGCAAGTTCTACTGTCTTATTCCAACTCCCTGATTCATTTTAAGGAAGATCATCATGTATGATTTTTTTTTCTGCTTAAAATTGGACTTTAAGCAAATTAGACTTTAAGCAAATTAGAGATATTGAAAATGTTAGGACACCTATATTCTTTTGATATGTTGAATTTTCACATTTGGAGTATGAGTTTCAAATAGGAAATAAGTGGATACAATTTCTTTTTTTTATTCCTTTGGCTTTGATACCACAGGAAGCCAGCTTGCTAACTCCCTGATATCTGATATTTCCCTGACTGAAAAGACTTTCTGATGAGGATCAGCATTTTCTCCATGACAGGAGTGTGAATTCTCTTCTTCCTAAAGATATACATGTCCCTTAAAAGAGTCCAGAATAATTTCCTGCAAAACTGCCTCAGTCATCTAGGCACTTATTAGAGCTACTATCAGAAAGGCTGAGGGAAGAAATGCGTCATTCTGCAAAGGAAAAAAAACAAATGTACCCTAGAATAGGCCAAGAACTTGAACATCAGCAAGATTACAGACCAGGGGGTGAAAGTAAATCAAGTTTTAAATAAAAATTTAGTTTCAAAAATAACTGCTTATCCTTTAGTTCCCTGGCTTAAGTTTTCCAACTTTCTCACTGCTGGAATTTTGTGAACTATACAAATGGTAGACAAGTATTCTGAATTTACTTTTTTTTTTTTTAAATTAGGAAGGTGGTTGCTTTGTTGGGATGGTCTGTCATGGAGTCTGTAATTACACAAATTGCAACTTACACCTAGTCGCAAATAGAGGAGTTACTCTCCTAGGACAATTTCAGGATCTCTTCAGGCAGGAAATTTTTCTGTAACTGAGGAACGGCTCAACTTTTAGGCAAGAACTCATTACGTCCAGGTAATCCCATACCGTTGTGAGCTGTTCCCTTTCCCTCAAGTCTTTATTGATCTTGACCCCAGGTTCTCCATCGAACTCAATCCCGGCTGAGCTGCAGGCAATACCCCCGCTGGGTGCGGACTTCGGGCCCACCACTGGAGGGCGTCTGGACGCTTCTAAACAATTCTGAAGCGTCTGGAAAAGTCTGAGCTAGAAAACTAAAGCGCAGGAGGGAGAACGTGGTATTTGATTTTATTGGGCTAATAAGTAAAGGGGAAACAGGAAGGTTTGGGAGCAAAACCAAACCCCTTTCTTTCTTGGGATCAGCGCTTCCCACCGGGGCAGCCACCTCCCTAAAGGACAGGAGAGAATAATATCATGAAGGCCCGAGCCCTCTGAGCTCCACGAGGGCGAGTCTCCAGAGGGGTTGGTGCCCCACAGCGCCGGGCTCCTGGCTAGCTTCCCCGGCGCTGGAGGACGCGGGACGCGTCCCAAGGCGCTCGGACCATCTTGCTGTCAGGCGATCGTGCTTCCGTGGCCGCCGGGGGCCAAGGCGCTACAACCCGCTCGAGAAGTCCGGTACGCGAGGCCTTTTCAAATAATAAAGGAAGTCCTGTCCGGACCTCCGATTCTTCCCGCAGCGGGTTCGTTGTAAGCATCTATCCTTTGGGGAGTGGACAGCCAACCAGCCTCGGCTGGCTGAAATGTAAAAGGTGTAAGGTATTTCTTATGGGCTCCTCGGCCGCATTCATTTCCTTCCTGCTGAAGGATCGCGCTGAATTATAATGACTTTACACTGTGATTTTCTCAATTAAAAAATGTGTTTCAGAGCATCACTTTATAGAAGAGTCTTGCTTCCTGCTCATGAACCTTTTAAGTCCCTGGTAGGAAGAGGAGAGTTGAAAGGCGCATGATAGACGCTCAGGTTTCCAAGATAACCCAGCGCCGGGCAATGCGCGTCGGGAACAGCGCAGAGATTTACAAGAACACGTATTCATTGAGGCTCCCTGCCAGCCTGTCTGCGGGGACTTCAAGTCACCTGCAGGGCCTGGGAGACAGATTTCGGCTTGCTGGCTGCAGGATGGGAACCGGTTCCTGTGTAATTGAAAAACCCCACTCTCAGGTAAAAAGATGTCAAATCACTCCTCAGCCCAGACGGAATTCAGCATCCAAAGGGTTACGTGCGGCTGCTGCGTTCGGGCGGAGGAGAGGGCGCCTCCGCACTCCCAGTAATTCAATTAGTCAGGTTTCTGGAAGGTGGGGCCGAGAAGGGGGGGGTAGGAGGCGTGGGGAAGGGAGGAGATTAAGAAAACGCCTCTTTCTCGTGGAACAAACCAATCCTGTTGGAGTGAAGAGAGAGGAAAAAACCCCGACCTGTAAGCAAACAGCAGACCGTTCACTGACTGGCTGCTCCAGCCACCCAGCCCACCCCCCGCTTTCCAAGTAAACTGCATGGGGAGGGAAAAAAAAAAAAAAAAGCAGCCCACATGACCCGGGCCGCGGCGCAGCAGCGCAGTCTGGGCGCGGGCTGGCGGCGCCTCCCCCTGCTAGGTCCGGTGCTCACACCCGCGCTCACGCCGCCCGCCTGCCCCGCGCCCTGCGCTACACGCCCCGGCGCCCCCCCACCACGGCCGCGCCGCCCACGTCCACGTTCACGCGCGCGGCCTTGCGCTCCCGTGCGGCGGCGGCGGCGGCTGCTGCTGGGTCGCGGTCGCTGTCGGCTTTACACGCAGGTCATTAACGAGGGGGCGTGCCCGAGGAGATTTTTCCCATAAAGCATTTTCTCTCTCTCTCTCTCTCTTTTTTTTCCTCTTTCGCAAAACTGACTTTTACCTCTTTCCACTTCTCGCCAGTCATTTCAATCCCTCCTGGGCTGCTCGTGCTGCTGCTGCTGCCGCTGCACTCAAGTTTATTTTCCCGCCTGGCAAAGGCTTTAGGATTCGGTTGGTGCTTTTCACCTCTTGTTGCTGCTGTGCCCAAGGAGGGAAAGAGGAGCAGCTGCAGGAGGATCAGGAAGGTTTTCTGATGTAGTCATCCGGGAGGTGCCACTCGCTCCTGCGTTCTCTCGCTCGCTCTCCTCCTCCTCCTTCTCCCCCCCTCCCCCTTTTCCCATTTCAAACTGATTGATGCATCTCTACAAGTTGCCGGGCTTGGGGCCGGACCCGTTGGAGTCGCAGGGACACTTCTGAGCGCGCACCCAAGGCTCTTGGCACCGCGTCTGGGGGCTCAGTGTTTGTTGCTCCCGAAAGGCGATCGGAGACTGACATCAGCCCGTCCAGGAGTTGGAGGGATTCATTTAAAAGTGATTGTTTTCCCTCTCGCTCTCCAGCCTAACAGTTGGGTTGGCGTCGTCCTGCAGGTTTGGGCATCCCAGCTCCGCCTCGCTGGCTGGTTCGTAACCTCTGCTCTTCATTCACTCTGGTGCACCCACACCCGGCCAAGGAAAGCACGCGCGAGAAATCCCCGAGGCTCCGACAGCGCCTGGGGTGTAGTCTCCCGCCGCCGCAGTCCGACTCCGCCGGGGGACCTGCCGGAAGACACGAAGAGCCAAACTTTTCTTTGAGGTTCGCAAGGCAAGACCGCTCCTCGCCCGCTGAGCTGCCGCTTAAGCAGTTCCAGGACGCCGGCGGGGCTGGGTTTGTGGCCCCGGATCCCCACCCTTCTCAGCACACCGCCCCGAACTCGCAGCACCTACGACTCCTCCGAGATTTCCAGGGGTCTCCCGGTTAAGGCACAGAGGAGACGCGGGAAGGGGGTCCTCACACTTCGGGGCCACAGGCGCGAAGCCCTCCATCCACACGGAGACCTCCTCCTGCAGTTTCTCACCGGCCGCTAAAGTAACTTGGAGCGAAGCGGGGCGCACTGCGAGGGCCCTGGGCGGCGGCGGAGCCGTGCGCAGCCCGCAGCGCCGACGCTGAGCCGGGCCCGGCGGGCCAGTGTATGTCTCCCCGCGGCCGCGACGCGCAACTCCCGGTGACTGTGCAGCGTGCGCCGCCGCCTGCCCCGACCCGCGGTGCCGCCGCCCGGCCCGGTGCGCACCTCCTTCTCCCGGGGTGACCGGCCTGCCGCCGCCGCTCGAGACACAGCTTGGCACCCCTTCCCCCGCCCTCGCCGCCGCCACCACACACGCATGCTTCTCTCCATCTTGTGATTCCTTTTTTCCTCCTGAACCCTCCAGTGGGGGTGCGAGTTTGTCTTGCCCCCCCCCCCACCGTCTCCTCTTCTCGTTCTCCTTCCCCTCCCCAGCTTGGTGTGAGCCTCTTTCTTTTCTCGCCACTCTTCATTCTTATTTATTCATATTTATTTGGCTCCTGCTCTCTTTCTCCCCTTCCCTCCCTCCGGATCCCTGCTCTTTCCCGGGAGCGGCTTGTCGGGGGTTCCGCCGCTGGCCAGGCGTGATGTTGCACGTGGAGATGTTGACGCTGGTGTTTCTGGTGCTTTGGATGTGTGTGTTCAGCCAGGACCCAGGCTCCAAGGCCGTCGCCGACCGCTACGCCGTCTACTGGAACAGCAGCAACCCCAGGTAAGGCAATAGGGGGAGCGGAGAGCCGGGGATACTCGGGCCTCGGCACCCTGCGGAAGGAGCGGCAGTGGCGGCGGGGACCAGCGCGCACCAGCCGCCGGCGGCGCGCACCCTCGGAGCCTGCGTCGTCAGGGCGCTGATGGCTTTCAAGGCGCCCACGGGAAGCGCTCCTGTCGCGCCTCTCTTTGTTAAGCTGCCTCAGAGAGGCCGGGAGTCCCTGGGAGTCCCCGGGGCAGCCCAGATCCGCTGCCTCTGCGGAGCGCGGGGAGACTCGGAAAAGGCGGGAGCTGGGGAGTCGAGACTTATCCGCTTCCTCACCCGGGCAAGCCGGCCAGCATCTCGATCCCAGCATAGCGCTTGGGCACTGGGAGTCCTGGGTGCGCGCCACCAAGAGTTCCCGCCTGGAGCGTGGGTGCGCAGGGACTGCAGGGAGAACGTGCCAAACATCCCCAAAGTTTTTTTTTATTTATTTTTATTTTTTTTTTTAAATTTTCTTCCCTTTTCTCGGTGCGTTCAGAGTGCACGGGCTGGGGGAAGCGAGGGCGGCTGGGAAGCGGAAGCTTTAGGCTCTTATTTTCCTTTTTAACTGCGAGGCAATCATCCGGCCCCGGCCCAGTCTCGGCCCGGCGCGCCTGGCAGGGGAGAGGATTCTCCCACCTCCTTGCCCCCCGTGGGCTCAAGGTGCCAGAAAGTTTGATCTAATGCCGGGTTACGTCATGTGTGCGGAGCGAGCTGCTGGAGTTGGCCGAGCCGGGAGGTGGGAGCCCTTAGTCCACGGCCTGGTGGTGTGAAGCCGGAGGAACACGCGCAATTACCTGGAACAGTTTTGTGGGCGTCCCCGAAGCCCGCCGGGTACGCGGAAGGCTAGAGATGGGCGCCTGGGGCCGCCCTAGCGCGCCTGCTGGACTCTGGCCACCCGCAGACGTCCCTTGCTCAGGGATTCTGGAAGTGGGGAGGAGTGAGGGTTGTCCAGCTTGTCTGCCGAACCCCTCCGGATCCAGAGCAGCTCCGAGCCCTACTTTCTCCCCCGCCTGTGGGCAGCGGTCGGCCCCGCTGGGCCCATAATGCTCTGCCACTCTGGGACCTCCGCCAGCTTCCAGGTGCTGGCTGGTTTCGGTGCCTGCCTAAGAGGGAAAAAGCATCGATTATACCTAAAATCCCAGGTTTTTCTTTGGGCTGGAGTGGAAGTTGGGAGGAGAGAGGCGGGAGGCCGAGGGCATAGTTGGTGCGTGCCCAGGGTGTATGGGAGAGAGGGGGCTGGCGGGCGCCTCCAGTTCTTCCTACCTAAGGGTGGCCGTGTCCACCGACTTCCCGCCTTCCCCCCCTGAATTCAAGCTTGGGAGGGATTCCCCTCTTGAAGTAATGTCAGCTTAGATGAAGATGGGCAGATTTCCCCACAAGCGGTCGACCGGTTGAGGAGAGGAAAGTCTCCCCGCCCCTCCATCCCAACCCTGCCCTGCTACTCCAGGACAGATAGTTACACCCAGGTAGCCCAAATCCTAATTGCACCGCCTGGTAGAACTGGAGACATCCCTGAACGTTTGGTTTAAAAAAAAAAAAAAAAAGTCTTCTGAAGGTGGGTGGTGGGATGGGAAGCTATTTCTTTGACATGCCACTTACCACTATTAGGAAAAGAAAGAGAAGCCATCCCGCTAGAGGAGATGCCTTTTATTAAAGCTGACAAGACAAATAGAGCAAGCTTTCCAGTTGTGATGGTGTTAAAAGCAAGGCTCGTTATGTTGGTTGGTTTTATTCCCCCCTGGGCTTTATTAAACAGCATATACGAAATAGAGAATTTCTGTTTCTAAAGTTTAGCGCCCTATTAAATAAAACAACAGTGAAACTGGTTAGTTGAATGTGGGGCATTTTGTGCTTAGTCGTCTTTTCCTTCCCACTCCAAACTTCACAGTGTGATCTTTTCCTCATAGTTTTAATTTACTTGGATACTTGGGTGTTCCAGTCATCCTAGGTTAAAACAGAGTCAGCAACACCCCACTCACCCCTCCTTCTTAACCTGTCAAGCTAGTCTGAGTTAGTTTGAGGACATGTTATCTTAGGTTATCTCTGTTTTATGCTTTTGATACTGTTGTTTGGATTGAGATTAGCACATTGATTTTTGTCACAGGTCATGTTTTTTAATAGATTTGCCCTGCCTGTAGAAAACTGTGCTCAGGGTGCCATGGTGGCTTTGAACCTGCCCAGACAAAGTTAATCTGTAGAATTTTAAAATACCAAGGGTATCCTCAAGTCTGTATTCTAATTCGAGGCTTGTGGAAATACCTTTTTATTTGATCATTATCATTTTGATTATGTTTAGAAGAAAGGATAATGTACCCCTCTCCCAAGAGATTCAGTTCTAACTTTAGTATTCTTAGGGGTTTGTGGGTGCATTTATCTTCATATGTTGTCACAGTAAAACTTACTTTAAGAAATAACTGTAGAAGTAGGGACTGGTAGGTAGATTTATCTCTGAAATGTTGAAGAAGATTTTTTGGGGGGGATGTATTAAGAAAATCCAGATTGTATGTAATTTAAAAGCAGCCAATGCAAAATAAACTAGTTTAGAAATAAACACAGTTTATCTGAAAAGATAGTGAAGAAACATTTTAGAGAATTTTCAAGTTTTATAAATTCAGTGTTTTACATTTTATTTTTAATAATAATATTATCATTTTATAAAGTAAGCTAACCATGCCTTCTGATTTTATATAAATCCTATTTTTTTTAGGACTTGCTAAACTAATAAGATCAGAAGACAATCTTTTGGAAAAAAGTTGAAAACTTTCATTGCAACTTAAACAGATCAAAATTTTTTTTCTTAGATAAGATAAGGTCACTTAAGCTCCTAATAAGGGATTCTGTGTCAAAATGAAGTAAATATGTTTTAGTTTATACTAATGGAGTTGAATTTGAAATTATGTTTAAATATAATTAGAATTAAGTATTATATCTTGATCCCATGGTTTAAAGACCTTATATTGTAACTTGTGTAGTCCTAGGAGTTTATTGTTTTCATTACTGACTCTACCATTAGCATCCATAGATCTAGATTAACAGAGGAAAAAATACTAAATTTATTTGCTATCAGATAGAATCTATCGTCCTAGGTATTTGCTTCTAGAAAGTGGATGTTCAATTTTCAAATGCTGAGAACTTTTTAGTTGCTAGTATTTATTGGGTGGCGGGCCAAAAAACCAATTTTATGTTTTGAATTGGCACAAATCTCTGAAATAGGAACCGAGAAATATCAATCTGAATAGAAGTATATGATAACATTTGCCTAAATGCATCTTCCATATTTTAAAAATTTGGGAAGTTGTCTGGATTTCACTTAAATATAGTAATAGAGTGATCCTTTCAATGTTAGGCTGAATTCTGAACCACACGTTACTAAGTAACTTTGAGTAATGAATATCTAAGTCAAAGAGAATATAGTTATTTGTCTTTAATTTCTTAAAGAATGTAAAAAGCTTTTGAATAACTTTTAAAGAGACTTTCTGTAATAAAACTTTATTTACATTCTCCCATAGCAGCTACACTTATAAAGATAGAGATGACTCAATATAAGAATATGCCTCATAATCTGAAGCGTGCTATAAATGGTTTGGTGCTTCCAATGAGAATATTCTTTTAAATATTGTGTGTATATTGAAAAGTTCTTGGTACCTTTTGACCAGCTGCCAAAATGATGATAGGGATAATTAGACATGTTTCCTACTAGTTGGCATTAACGGAATAGTAAAATAATACGGAGGCAAATACCACCAGCATACTTTAAGAATATTGATTCTCAATGCTTTGCTTCTGTTAGGTTCTGAGTATCACCAATTTAAAGTGTTATGTTCTGATGAGAAAAAAAAATGTCTTTATAATTCACCCAGAGTATATACTAAATTTTAACATAATCATATGTTTTCTTTGGACTTTTAAAACTCTTGTAGGGACTTGCAAATTAAACATTTCATGTTAGAGTAGTAGGTAATTGACACCATTTAGTTTTGTTAACATGTAATCTTGGAGTTGTGAAAGTGATAATGAATTCTAGGTCAGTACTCCCAAACCTTTGTGGCTTGCAGATCATGTGTATGTGGCTAAGTAGAGAGAGGTAGTAACTTTTTTTGCCTTGATCATAATTCCTTGGGTATTTTTTCCTTTCAAAATAAACTTGTTTTATTTTTTAAAATCAGAGTCATCAATATTTTATTATGCATATACTGGTATTCTAGCTCTGTGCCTTTTCCACTGACAAAGGAAATCGGTTTGATTTAAATCTAAGAATTTTTTTTGAGGAAAGATGGAAAGTTGAACCTGGTTTGGAATTAATTTTATCACCAAACTTGTACGGGTATAAATTTATCTTTGAAATTTTAAATGTTTTAAATAATATCTTATATGTTAGAAACTTAAAAGTTCCTCAAATAAAAAACATTGTTTAGAATTTTTTTAACTTTATCAACTCTGAGCCTCAGTGTAATGCATTAGATATAATTAGGTAATTTTATTATTTTGATCTTTATATCAGAATTTATGTAGACATCCGGATAAAAATAAAGCAGTATGCCAGAGATTTATATCTCCCGTTTTTACCCTAATACATTTGCTGGAGACCTGAAGTGAATCCTTCCCACCCCCACCCCCCCACTCCTTTTTTTTTTACTTTACAAATTGCTATAAGGGAAAAACACTTCTTGCTTTCGGCCACTTTTCCCTAAAAGTTTGAAAATGAAAAATGAGTTACTGAGATGTTTGTTCCATTCATTTTATGCATTATATGTTCATAATAAGCTCTCAGAAATAGTCAACTGTCTTTTTTTTTTTTTTAGGTGACTAGAACATCAGTGCTATTTGAGGTACACTTGGCTATACAGTCTAATTTGGCATTTCCAGCATGAGACCAAGGTCAATAAACTCCCTGTGATTAAAAGAATCAGAGAGAGCCTTCAGTTGTTCATGGCTCCCTGTTAGTTGGTTTTAGTGGTATTAACTAAACCATTGGCTCA